TCGTAGGTCTATCTCTACTTTCCCGCGATAGTCGCGTAGCTCTAAGACAGCTAACTATCAGAGTTTGCGACCAATCGCTAGCGAATCGCAGTCTCATACTTATCTAATGTACGTGACAACCGGCTCGCAGACGTGACCTCTAATGGTCTCTTTGGTTGTACCTCGTCCTTTTCAACTCAATACGCGCAGTCCTGCTGGTAGCTCCATGATATGCTCTCTTTTCTACCACGATCCAAACGATGATTGCAACATCACAGTGGCATGCTTGTTTTCGATGGCGGAGATTTATTTGGTTGACGTTTTGGGGTGATTGCCTTTGTAAGAATCTGGAAAGAGGAAAAAGCACTTTGGAAACTACTTGTCTAATTACTATTTCAACCTATACAATCACCTAGTGGAATCGTGAAGAGTGTGACGTGACAGGGGCAGGATCAATCGTCGCGATCGCGCTTTTCCGTGAATTTTACGACCCCCCACCGTCAGCTTTGGAAGAAACCCCCCATACGACTCCCCTCCTCCCTACACCGATCACCACCCTCACCATCATGCCCATTGCTATTGTATTTGATTCTGAGACCAATCGAGACCCAACCCGCCCACTTTTTCCTCTAAACGATCGTGTAGAGTGGAAAGGAGTGTACATACCTTTTTATGATCCCCCTCACACTTTTTTCCAGAGGTAGTTAGCCTTGCTCAATTCTACATGCGACCCCCCAGAATCGCAAATGCGACCTCGTTATTCGAACAGTGCGAGCAGACGGTTGACCCAGCATAGGGGTAGGAAAGCTGACCTAGGAGGTTTATTTGTCGCCAGCCCGAGATGGTAATAATACGCTTCTAAACGTAAAATTAATAATGTAAAGTGATATGAGGGCGAGTTTATGTATGTCGTGCCCAGACGTTGTGCAGATAACTAGAAGAGCGCCATTAGTTTAGATGGTCCCATTAAGAGAGAGAGAGGAAGTGAGACGCATACATCCCCTCATTCAAATGAGTTTGCAAAGAGAGAATTAGAAGGGCTCTGCGGAACAAGGAAGCTGCTCTCTGGGGATCACCGAATGAATGCGAACATTCCTCATCGATGTGCGAGCGATGACAGCAGTGCTTGCGAAAATTGTGTCTCCTTAGGGGGACGGAAAGAGAGCGGTAGGGAACGAATTGGGTGCGGTTGCGCGAATGTTGAGATGGGTTGTGACAAAGAATGCAGCTAGATTTTGGAAGATTATGGGAAGTTAAGCGATCAGGTGACTAAAATTTTTAGGTTTTTTTGTTAGGTTGTACATGTGCGATCCCTCATTTGTACGCGTTATGGATAAATTAGAAGTACAGGCACCTTTGGAAACTCTTAAAGCGATTTTGTTAAGCTTTCGTAATACAATTTAAACACCTGAACGAAGTGGTTGTAAAGGTTGGTCATATTCACGATGGTTTGTGCAGTTCCTTTCCAGGAATTAAATCACACCTACTGAAATCTTCACCTGAATGACTAGCACAATTGTGCTGAATGTATGGGGAATGAATGAATTTGCTGTTGTCCATTGTGTTGTGGCCCAAAACAGACTGTCCTCAAAGGTTCAGAATTATTCCCTTTTTCTGCTCAGTTGTAAGTAATAGCAGGGGCACGTTGCTATCACTCGATTTTGCTGTTGTAGCTGAGCTTGTTTGTTTGTGACGCAAGGTGACCTCTTTATTTTGTGGCCTATTGCCTAACACAGGTAATATAGATAGCATAAAATGTTTGATAAGTTCTGTGAGAATTACTCCTCTATTTCTACTTGCCGGGTCAAGTCTACTCGATAGTTCCTCAGTGCCATTGCAGCTGAGAAAAACAAAGGAATGGAGGCAGATGAAAAATTGGGAGGCGTGGTGTAGGAAAGACTCAAAGTGACCAATCCGGGTAGCTGTCAAAATGTTAGGTACCCGCACATGTGCTACCGTAGTTCAGCTGTAATTTGGAACTCGGAGCAGAGTCAACCCTGCGTTGCGCAGTTCTCAACGGCCACGTTGCGCAGTTTCGCCCGATTAGACACGTTCTCTCGCGCGAACATTCACACTCGCATGCTCGAGCCGTCTGTGTCTCCGCCCATACAGCGTGCGTTGAGGATCTCTCAACGTGCCGTTGCGAACTGCGCAACGCAGGGTTGACTCTGGTCGAACGGAGCACAGCTGATCAATCGTTGTTGAAGTGCAAGATCACTGAATCAGTGATCTGAATCAGTAAGAGAGAATGCAAAAGTTCTCGATTGAACTTGGCAGCTGAAGCTACAAGCTCTAGGTCGGCGTGTCAAATGTTAGTTGGATACATACAATTGGTATTCTCTTTATGATGTTGGCCACGTAATGCAGTAGTCTTAATAAAGTTGGGTAATTTCTCGTTTTTCAGGGGATCTTGAGGTGTTCTTAGGGGTACTTGCCGTAGGCAACGGTGTTAAAGGTAGAATTTGTATGTTTTCAAATGAATGGGTATAAATGATGGAATATTTTGGCAGTTCTCATTCATTTTGAGAGAGTGAGGGAAGGGGCATGTGGTGCGGTATTCAAATTCATTATTTCGTTTATCACCGTCCATCGACCACAATAAGTGATTTTTCTCAAAGGGAGGGAGCTTCAGATTAGTTCTGGAAGGGGTACGCGGGTCACGCACCTGGAGGTTTTCCTTCCCTGCAAAAATTGGTAGGCGGCAGCAACTGTCGCTCCACATTCGTCCCCCTTTCTAAATGAGGCTCGGAGTCCTCGTGTAGCTAGGGAGCATTCAAAACAGGGCATTCAAAAACCACTGGTAGGTGACACTAGGACTACACCCAGGACAGAAACGCTAGAGAGAAACAAAATTGCTCAAGTCCGTTCCTAGGATGCTTTCCCCTTTGAAGCTCGGTCGCAAGTGCTGTAAGTGGCTCACTCACTTACAAGGGAGGTCTTTCAGGGCAAGGTGCGCTTTTTGGAAACGGTTTAGTACATATTGTAGGGACGCATGTATGGACCACAAAACCATGTTTCGTTTTCGCTGAACGGTTTTAGTAGTACCAAAAAAGTGGTGAATAATACTCTTGATGGTTCAATCCCCCGCGGCGACTAAATTTTGCAATCAAGGTTGGCGGCCACTTGTTGGCTTCAAAACCTTATCGAACCCTTATCAGTACTTTATGCTTCTTTTTTGGTACTGCTATAACCGTTCAGCGAAAATGAAACATGGTTTTGCGTTCCCTACAATATGCACAAAACCGTTTTGAAAAAGCGCACCTTGCCCTGAAAGACCTTCCTTGTTAGGTATCCCTTGAGACCAGTTTTCGTTCATGTAAAGCATTGGTGCTGCCATACCCGGGAGAACGGGCTGGTGGAATGCTGATCCGCTTGCCTACACCTTCTCATCGAGATGGTGTGCATTCACACTCCCACCTGTTTCGAGCAAATTAAATGACTTACCTTCTCCACCCTGAATTGGTCACATTCCCCTGGTTTACCTTTTCCCTTTCAAGCGGACCGACACTTCGCCGTCTGCCCCTCCTGCCTACAATACCCCTGGGAATAAGCACACTTTGACTTTGGCTCGTTGTTACTTGGTGCATATGTCGTCTATACTCATCTAGTCACTATGTAGAGAATGTTTACGCGATACACAGTTACCAAGTTCAGAGTAAATAAATGCATTGCGACCATTAGATATAATAATGTAATTGGATGGAGGCTCAATGTCGGCGATATAGTCCAATTGTATTAGCCGAAAAAAGGAAATGAAGGCATCCGTTGCGCTTCATAGAGGATGATTGAATTAGAAGAAAGCCACAGTGATGACAAATCAATGACGTGAGGACAATTTTCTATGGGTAGATGGATTACGGTAGCATTGCTGATGGCTATGAAGCGTTTGGAGCGTTTTCTGTGATGTTGTGGAGCGATGTGGATGATGGCTTCTTCAGACGCTGATCTGTTGCTGTGGTGGTGGCGTCGACTTCACCTCACCAGTGATTGGATTTCGAGCTGAAATAGTAGGTATTAGAAGGGTGTATGATGGATCCCTAAGGTCCCTGTGAAAGAAGAAGGCCTCGTGGAAGCAGCCTTTGGTTTCGTCATTGCATTTGTTTGGTGTTGGCCATTATAGTGCGACCGAATTGACCACGCAATCGCAACGAAGGCGGCACATTTCGGAACTCATTAGAGTCGCCGCTCGGCTGACTCATCATCAGCCCGAAAAGCATCAACGAAACGAAAATTCTCGAAATTGCGACCCCAATCGCTCTGCCCAAATGGACAGCGTAACGCTGGCAGACAGATGCGATTTACAACCCTATTCTAATGAGAAACGATGAGGGTGGTGGAAGATGGATTTGATGACCCGTTGGCTTCCAAAAAGGAATTC